AAAGAATTCAAGGAAATTGAGAAAAAGGAAAATGCAATTTTATAAAAATGAATTTCTCAGTTATTTATACAGAGGAATAACATGGGCTACAAACTAGACCTGAGCCTAAATAACTGGATAACCCAACTTGTGAGGTCCTAGAAATTATAATAATTAGGAAAATAAACAAACGAGGATAAATAGATATTTTAAACAAAAGATAAAAGGATTTATTATTTATTTTAGAAGATTTATTTTTTCAAAAGATTACGGTAACAGATAAAATGGTTTATTACAGAATGAGAGTTGCCCAACTAAGTGGTCACCAAGCAACCATATACACAGGAATGCTTTAGATTGGAAAATATGTAAAGCTCAAACCCAAAGAAGTTCCTACTTTACGTGTGGCCAAGGAAGCACAGTGAGAGATATTATTGAAAGATTTCCTCCTTACATATATGTTTAAAATCTATTGTCATTCAAAAATGTTTTTTCAAAACCACCAGATATACACCATGGAAAAAACACAAAGACACAAGCAAAACTAGAATTGAATTTGTTATAGAAAAATAAAAGTTGAATGAGATCTTGTATGAGGGGGCACGTTATACATAAAACATCTGGGTGCCTTTACCTAATGAAGAAGCAATATTACAAAAAATCCCAAATCAACAATACAGTAGAAATAGACCTGTAAAACATCATACTTGATTTGCCAGCTAATAATATTTAGATCATGACATAGTATCAAGATGCCCACATCAGTTGGGAATATGGTCAAAATACTCCTAAAAAAAATAAGACTTGGGCAATCCTTGAGCTAAATTTTGAAGTTGAGCTGGGCTTAATTTACTCGTAACGTTTGAGAGCCTAAAGGACCAAGTTATCTAGAGCTCATCCTTGCCATACCTATTTTCTAATAACAAGTTAAATTTCAGCCCCAAATTGGTGGATTTTGTGTCAAGCCCGAAGATGGCAGACCCTAAATTACCCTAAATTGCTATTTCAGCGAGTTCATTACATTCTAATTGAACTTTGTGATATCAGAAAAAACTAAAATCTGAAACTCTAGAGGTTCTACGAACTGAAATTAGTTATTCATACCTTGACAACACCAGCATCATCAATCCGTCCCCAGCCAGCAGAAGAACCTGTACAGTAAGATTATAAGTTTGAGCAAGCAATTCTCCTATTGTTCCCTCAAACTCCCTTTTAGCATTTTTAATATGTACCTAACAACATGAGCATTTTAACTCAAGATATCCTGCAAACAACTCAAATTACTTACTAGTATCCCACTCCTTGTGATTTAGTATTTACAAATCAGAAAATACAATGTGCAGACAACTCAAGATATGCACCATGTGCAGAAAGTCCAAACCAGGGATGGAACGGGCAAGTACCAGTTTGACCATACTTACTTCTAAGTAAAATTTCATACCTGTCCCGTCCTCGTCTAGGTATGAAATTTGAATTTCATCCCTATCCCCATCAGATAACAAGTATACCAAGTGTCTTACAATCGCTCCCTTACTATTCCAAATATTACATAAATAATTTTCTTACAAAAAGAAAACACAACAAAGAAAACATATATTACAAGGATTATCAAAATGACACATTTTTTTCTTCAATTTCAAATTTCAAGAAAAAAATATTATAATTATATAAATATTAAAATAAAGTATCACATAACAATTGCATAAATGTCAAGTAATGATAAAGGATTAAACAATTACACATAATTGAAATTTAAAGACAACCACAACATTTATTATTTTTTCAAATGTTAAGAGGGAAAGTACATTGGAGATTTGAGTAAACTTGGTAATAGTGAACTAGTTGAATTGTTGAGAGGCTAAAAAATTGTGCAGCATAAGAAAAGTTCTTTAAATGATACAAAATTAAAAACCAAAGAGAAAAGACAAGATAAGTTTGTTAGGTTACCTAATAAACTATCGAGTTTACATAATTGAACTCTCAAAATTGATAATTAGACATTCTCATGTAACAAACAATAAATAACAAATAAAAATATAAAAAGGAGTAAAGATGATAAATTGTGTACCTTAAAAAAAATTTAATTTCATAAAATGCAATACATTTGTTTGAACGAAAATGCACTAATAAAAATAATTCAAATGAGGTTGTGATTAGAGAGAAAGTACCTAAAGGGTCTATGGTGGATGTAAAAATGAAACAATTGAGATAATGATAAATTTTGTAGTAAAAGAAGGGTAAGTGGTTACATAATAAACTAGAAGTGTTTTAGTAGTTTAAAACAATGAAAGGGCAGCTATATACAAATTCATTCCCGTAATCATACACGATTTCAAATTGGTTATACTCATACCTTTATCCAATCAATGTTGGGATTTCTCGTCAAAATAGAGGCCGGATTCGAATAATATTTGTGAGGTAGTTAATTTGTCATAATGTTCAACTACTTGTGATAACATGATATCAATTTAAGTAATAATATGTTCATTTAAAAATAAGATCATGAACAAAAAGATCCTACATGCACCATCCTCTGTCCAAGAAATGATCAACTTCAAGTCTTTTTTTTACTTCTGTCTATGAAAATCAGCAGTAGCAAGTTGAATTGAAGAGAAACATTAGACTGTATACATCATTAAGATTCAAATTAATATACAGCACCTGCCAGATATAGTTGGTGAGCAATAGTTGATAGCTGAAGTGGAACTTTCCATGATGATGATTCACGAGTAACAATTCCCTGTACATGAGTAGCATAGCAATAGTAGATATTACTAAAGTAATATCAGTACAATATTTAAATAAAGTGTCCCTGCTGAATAGAATGAAGAATATACTATCTTACCATGTCCTTCACAAAGATATCAAGTGCTGAACATGGTGTGTAATCATTATCTATCATGTGTTGGCCACGATTCTCAAACATCCTGAAACAAAAGACATTTCTTAAGGTTAGCAGGTAAATTTTCTATTAAAATCTATGAACATGCTTTAGAAAAGAATAACGTAACACAAGGAGAGAAGTGAAAATAAAACCAGAAGAGGATAAACAATCCTCAAGAATTAGAGACAATACAAAAAAAATCCTTTGAAATAGCCATGAACACATAATTGTAGAGAAGACATGAACACAACCATAATATAAAAAAAATGGATTACCAACATCACAAATAGACCAAAAAGTTATCAAGAAAAAAAAAACTGACTTCAGAATTATTGAGAAGACGGCGTGATTATGTTGAATATAGAGAAAACTAGGTATAGGGTTAATTTCTCTTGAGTCTTGTTAGATGTTAAGTTGTGTGTTTTCTGTTATTTGGGCTCAGCCTATTTTGTATTAAGGGCATTGACCCATATCTTACAATATAAATAAATTACCCTATGTGTATGCTAAACACACAAGGGATATTTTCTCCCAATCTTCTCTATTTCTCACAAGTCTAAAATACACATAGGGTAATATATTTATATTGAATAATGATACAAGTATATATGACAACCAAACATAAATATGATAAATACAAGATTTACAACAATATCAAATGTCTATGTTTCCCTAATTAACAATAGCGGTTGTGTTTCCTTAATTTCCCTAATTAATATGAAACACAATCTTCAAGTTGGTGCATACAAATCGTATTATCAAGTTTGTTACAAATATAATCAATTTTCGATCTCCTTAAAGATTTAGTGAAAATATTTGCTAACTTATCATTTGAGTTAACGAACTCAGTCTTGATGTCTCTAGATACAATCTTCTCTAGAAAGAAATGTCAGTCAATCTCAATGTGTTTGGTTCTCTCATGAAAAACAAAATTAGAACTATTATGAAGAGTCGCCTGATTGTCACATATAAGTGTCATTTGAGTGACATCTCCAAATTGTAACTCTCTAAGCAATTGTTTAAGTCAAACAAGTTCACAAGTGGTTGAGGTCATAGCTCTATATTTTGCTTCTGCACTAAATCTTGCCACAACACTTCGTTTTTTGCTCTCCCAAGAAATCAAATTACCACCAATAGAGACACAATACCCGAAAGTAGATCTTCTATCAAAAGGAGATCTTGCCGAATCAGCATCTGAATAACAAACAACTTTTGTATGGTTATTGGAACCATATAACAAACCTTTTCCAGAAGATCCTTTAATGTACTTTAATATGTGGATAAATGCATTCAAGTGATCTTCACATGGAGAATTGAGAAATTGACTCACCACACTAACTCCAAAGGAAATGTCATGACAAGTAACTATATGGTAATTTAATTTCCCAACCAATCTTCTATATTGCTTAGGATCTGAAATAGGCTCCCCCGAATTTGGTAGGAGTTTGGTATTAGGATCCACGAGTGTGTCAATAGATTTTGAATTCACTAACCCATTTTCCTCCAAAATATCCAATGCATACTTCCTTTGAGATATAATAATACCATAGTTGGATTATGCTACTTCAATACCCAAGAAATATATGAGTTTTCCAAGATCTTTGGTTTGAAAATAATGGCAAATGTGTTGTTTCATCTCGGAGATGCCATGATGGTCATTGTCTGTAAGAACAATGTCATCAACATATACTATCAAATAGACACAACCAACACTTGACCGTAAAAGACTGATTGATCTGCCTCACTTCGAGTCATACAAAATTGTTGAACAACGCTATTAAATTTTCCAAATTAGGCCTTAGGAGACTGTTTTAGGAATATAAAGATTTGCAAAGACGACATATCAATTCAGAAGACTCCCCTTAAGCAACAAATCTGAGAGGTTACTCCATATAAATTTATTCCTGCAAATCTCCATTAAGGAAAAGAATTTTTACATCCAATTAATAAAGCGGTCATTGTTGAAGAGCAGTCATGGCTAGAAATAAACTAACAAAAGTCATCTTTGGTATTGGAGAAAAAGTATCACCACAATCCAATCCAAAAATTTGTGTGTAACCTTTGGCAACAAGTCAAACTTTGAGGCAATCAATAGTAGACCAACTTTGATAGAAAAATCCCATATGCAACCAACAACAAATTTTCCATACGGTAATAGGACGAGCTCCCAAGTTCCACTATTCTAACGAGAACTTAGTTCATCTAGCATGATTCGACCTCAACCAGAATGAGCTAAGACATCATTGATAGATTTAGGGATGCACAAAAGAAATAGACGAATGGTGAAGATAATATATGGTAATTCAAAAATATATAATGTAGAGAGGGATTACGAATAGCACATATACCTTTACGGAGGGAATTGGGAGATTAGACTTAGTTGTCGGAGTCAAAGGAAACAAAATAGTTGGCACATGAAGTGAGTCACTTGGTGGTTATTGGAAATGATGTCTTCGACTATAAACATGAAAGGGTAGTGAAGGAGGAGAATTTGACGATGGATTGATTATGTACAATAGGAGGATCACAGATAATAAGAACATTAATTGTAGTAGACAGAGACACATCGGAAGAACAAGGACTCAAAGTAAAAAGAAAACTCATTGAAAGTGACATTTGCAAAAACAAAATAGGGGTTAAGAGAAGGAGAAAAACATTTGTTTCCCTGTTGGGATCCAGTAAATCCTAAAACCATGCAATGGTGTGATCTAGGAGGTAACTTATCAAGACCATGACCAAAATTACGAACAAAACATGTAGACCTAAAAAATTTCAAAGGCAAGGGATGGAGATGTTTATGAGGAAATAAAATAGAATGAGAAAATTTGTAATCTAAAACTGAAGATGTATATGATTAATAAGAAAAATGCAATAAGAATAGCATCACCCCAAAAATATTGTGGAACCTCACCATGAATTAAAAGGGTGCGAGTTGTTTCAATAAGATATCTACTCTTGCGCTCAACCACCCAATTTTGTTGAGGTGTATAAGCACATGTAGTATGATGGAGAATTTTATGAGAATCCATAAATTATTTAAAAGAATTTGAAAGATATTCACGACCATTATCACTTCGCAAAGTTTGAATAGAAACACCAAACTGAGTTTTAATTTCATTATAAAAGGTTTGAAAGATATAAAATAAACCAAAACAATTTTCTATTAAAAATAACCAAGTACATCTTGAAAAATCATCAATAAAAGTAACAAAATATTGAAAACCTAAAATTAAACTTAACATGACTAGGACTCCAAATTTCAGAGTGAATTAAGGCAAAAAGGGACAAAGCACGTTGTGAGTTACTACTAGAAAAGGAACTATGACTATGTTTCCCTAATTAACACGACTCACACACCAAACTAGACAACATGAACAAGCTAGGAACAAGTTGTTGCAATTTGACCAGACTAGGATGACCTAGCTGAGCATGAAAGAGAGATGAAGACTCCATAACTGTGTGAGCATGTTTAGAAGCATAGAGATGATAAAAACATGAGACTCACATCCGGTGCCAATCACCTGTCTCAAGAGTGGTTGCGATCATCACATTGAGATGCCAAAATAGAGGAATCATCAACAAAATCAATTTTATCATTGATAGGTTTACTTGGCACATGTAAAAGGGTGGAAAAAGTATAAGAAAAATTGGGTATAATAGGGGAACCCTAAATCTGATCATGGACATGAGAATATTTATCAGCATGTCCGTGTAAAGCATATACCATGAACTTTGACCATTGCTCTATTCCTTGTGCGGGAGTAGAGACAAGAGGTAATAACTCGTTAAATTCATGAAAAAGAGTATGAATCTTACTCAAATAATCAGCCATAGAGTCTTGATTTCGAGGAGCAACAATACACATAGGATAATATATTTATAATAAAGAATGAAACAAATACATATGGCAACCAAACATAAATATGGTAAATAGAAGATATTGTTGCAAACAATATCAACAAATCTACCAATATCAGACAATATCAAATGTCTATGTTTTCCTAATTAACAATAGAGGCTATGTTTTCCTAGTTAACATAAAACGCAATATATCCAACGATTGCATCATAGAAGACACATACCAGGAAGTTCCCCCACTAATTGTAATGAAATTGAACAACGGTCTTGTATTCAAACCCAACCGAGCTGCAAATGCTATTGCCTCAGCAGCTGCGGCAATGTGAACTCCAGCAAGCAATTGGTTAATCATCTTTATACCACTACAGAACAAATTTAACTGATTTTATTGTACATTATTTTGAATTGATGATACTACATTTAGTGGATTTCAGTGTCAGAATTAACATTGCATTACCTGTTTCATGCAAAAAAGAAACAAGTATTAGTATTAATCAAAGGAAAAAAATGAATTAATAGTGATTGGTAAATTAATAAATACCTTCCAGAACCACAACCACCTTTGATGATATAAAGCTTCTCACTCAAGGCTGATTTCAAAGAAACATAAATTAACTAGAAAATTATTTCTGAAATAACTTTAAATCCAGAATTAGAATTAGCAATTTTCACTTCTATTATCAGTTCGTTTTACCTGCTAAGACCTGACCAGCACTCTTAAGGGCATCATCACTTCCTGAAGCCATTATCTGAGGATTATTCATTACATCAGTGTCTTGGTACATAAAATCTAAAACGAAGTTCCGATAAAAGACGAATGTATTTCACACCGTAAGTGTTCCCAATGAGGCCCTCTGAACACCTCCAGAAACCGGGGCATCCACCAACTTCAAATTCTTACTTTCATCTGCATTATTATCATGTCGATGGTTACTAATAGAGTAATTGAACAAAACCTCTGTTTTTGTAAAACTGAATGACATTTGCCACATTAGAAAAATTGTTTCTGTTACATTTGCCACATATCAACCTTACTATCCACTACAATATCAGCCGTCATCATATCCTCCTACCCAAAATCCTTACCAGTACATTATGCAGACTCCTCCTCTTCCTACCATTCCCTCACCACAATCCACTTTAGCTAACATTACTCCTCAGCAACAATCTCAGAGTTGGTATGTTGATTTTGGTGCTTCACATCATGTGACAGCAAACCCTCCTGATATAAAGTATTATTGGATAATTGTCAAGGTCTTCCTATTAAATCTACTGGTTCTATTTTATTTTCTTCCTACAATTCCAGTCATGTCTTCATCTTAACTCAGGATGAACAGACAGAGTATTGTTGCATGGTGAACTCAGCCCTGATGAACTCTATACTTACCCTTATATGCTTTCACAAGCTACTCCAAACAGCACCTCCCTTCCCATTATCTTTCTTACTTCTTATAGTAGCTCTTTAGTCTGTAAAGACTTCCAGTATTACTTCCTTGTCTCTATTCTAGTTTCAAACAAAAATGACATTGACTTTTGTGCTACCTGTTGTATGGGAAAATTAGGCTATCTTCTCACCTCTCTTCAATTTATTATACTGTTGAACTTATTTTTTCTGATCAGTGGGGTCCAGCACCCATACAATCTTCTAAGTATTATACTTATCTTATGTCCTTATCGATGCTTTTAGTCATTTTATCTTAAACTATTTTCTTAAAACCAAATCTGAGACCCTCACTATTTTAAAACAGTTTAAGGCCATAGTTCAGTTTAATACCAAAATAGAAGTCTTGCAGTCTGATTGTGTTTCGTCCTTTCACACAATATCTAAATACCTTGGGTGTGCAACTTAGATTTATATGCCCGCATACTCACAAGGTATATTGTGGAAATGGGATTGGCTCTATTATCTCAATCATCTCTTCCTATGCATTTTTCAGATCATGAACTTCAAACAGTTGTGTATCTTATCAACAGAATTCCATCAAGTTATCATAATTTTCCTACAGCTCACCAAGTTCAATACAAAAAGGTTCCTGATTTTGATTTTCTAAAGGTATTTTTGGTTGTGCCTGCTACCCCATTTTTGGAAATGTAGTGAACACGACGTGTCAGTCCACAGCTCAACCTTTAGTCTCCCACTGAGTTGCTACATAAATAACTCTGAGATATCTTCAAGGGACAGTTACTATGCAACAATACTCTGTCTGTTCATCCTGTGTTTTGACTACTGACAAATCTTCTGACACTTACTAAATAAGGTTGAAATGATGACATCAATAAGGTTGAAGTGAATTTTATCCTTTGAAGATTTTTAAAACAGAATTTCATCATGTCTCTTGCTTGTCTAGAAACTTTTATCCAATTAATAACCTATGCGAGATTTCCTTAGATTGATTATTTTTGAAATTTTTAACTCGGCTATCCAACTTGGTGATCTAATTTTCCTGATATTTGTATGGCACCTGATTCATTTTCTTAAAAATTATCCCATATTATAAAATGTACAAAACTTATGTATTACGATAGGCGTTGTTCTCCAACTATGTTTGGAATTTCATCTTGAAAATTTACATTTTATTAAATGCACTATGAACTCCACATTTAATTGGAGAACAGCTCCTACACTACATACAATATATCAGCTTTGTCCTTATGAAAGTAAAAAATTCACTAGTCCAAAGTTCAGTGTGCATTTGCATAGAAAAGGAAATGAAGTAACATACTTTGCAATCTATGCTCCAACTGACTCACGTATGCAGGGGAAACCGTGGAAGAAAGAATGATAGATGCTCCAGGTGTAAGAGCTACATATTACAGAAAATATATCAGTACAGTTAAAAAGACATCTTAATAGGGGTGTTAAAGATATTATATGCACCTGAAACTGCACCATTTTCTCCAAATAAAACATTTTCTGCTTGCGATTCATTTGTGACCATAATTATGAGAACTTCAACATCTGTGAGCAAAAATAAGTGAATGACTTCCTGGTTTAGGAATAGCAAGTTATCCTATATAACGAAAACATAGCATATGAAGAAAAAATAAATAAATGGGTTGAATATATCCTTCTGCTTATAAGTAGAACTGATTACGCCAGAACATATCATTCGGTGTTGTAAGAGCTGACATCAATGCTTAGTTCTAATATCTAAACTACTAAAGTTGCATTTATTGTTAAATATATTAGATTATTAGATATTTTATCTTGATATCTTGTCTTTATCTTTTACTTTTATCTTTTATCTTTAGTTACTTTGTTATTATTTTTTATATTTTAGGCTTAACCCATATTTTCTTTATTATAAATACAATATCCTGTGTGTTATCTATACAAGAGAGATTAATCCCAAACCTATTTTTCACTATGTTCAACATGGTATATTGAGGTGGCACAATCCAATGATGTTATTATTATATCTCAAAGGAAATATGTATTGGATCCTAATACTAAACTTCTACCAAATCAAGGGGTACCTATGTTAGACCCCAAACAATATAGAAGACTAGTTGTAAAATTGAATTATTTTACATTTACTCATCCTTCCATTTCTTTTGCAGTTAGTGTGGTAATCCAATTTCTTAATTCCTTATGTGAAGATCATTGAAATGCAGTCATTCGTATAATAAGTACATTAAAGGAGTTATTGGAAAATGGTTGTTAGGGTTAGGGTTTTGTTGAAGGATAAAAATGAGTAAGTTAACTAGTATATAAGTGGATGGCTACAGAGGGATATAAATGGTTATGACTAAACATGAGTTTGAATTAGCACATCAAATGTAGGGAGATTATTAGGATTTCATGTGTGTCCAATGTCCCACATAGGAAATAATGATAAGATCACTTATACATAAGTACAAAAGATCCGTAAACACATTGATGGGTATATTGTTAGTATTCAATACGAGTTTGGAACCACATTGGGTAAAAATGAATAATATGAAAAGTATGTAAGGAGAAGGGTTTAAGGTTAGGGGGGCTTCATGGTAAAACTGATTAAGATGGCAAATATAAGTAGAAAGACTCAGCATCCTAGCACATCTGGTAAAATATTGACTAAGATGAATAATATGTAAGCTGAAAGCCCCATAGACCTTTTTAGGAATTTGAACTCCCACAACGAGTAAGAAGATTAGTACATAAGTAAAAAGGACTAAAAAATCAATTGAGGAGGAGATTGTTAGGATTTACTAAGTCTAAGTCTGAAGCCCCACATCTGGTAAAATATTGAGTAAGATGAATAATATGTAAGTTGAAAGGCCCATAGACCTTTTTAGGGGGAGATTAGTATGATAAAATGTGAGTATGAAGTTCTAGATTAGTTAAAAATCAGTAAAATAACTAGTATATAAATAGAAGGACCTCATAAACTTAATAAGGGGATTGTAGGGAACCTCATAAACTTAATAGGGGTTAGGATTAGGGTTAGGGGTAGGGGTAGGGTTCACAGAATAAAAAGGCAATATTTTATTCATCTTATTATTATTCACTACACTACCACTGTTTCGGCTTTTTATGTATCATTTTATTTATGGGTACGTAGTATATAGCAATTTACCTTTGCTCACTTCAGCTGGAGAATTTCCAATCAGGCCACCAGCATTTGTGAATCGTTTTAGGGTTGGTTTATACACCTAGAAAATGAAAATTTGAAAAGATGCTTATAGTGATCATATAACTTTTTCTTCCATGATATTAAAGTAATAGTTTGATCTTTGCATGAATATACAAACACCCACATTCTACGTCATAAACAGATATACAACACATTCTACGTCATAAACAGATATACAACACATTCTACATGTAAATAATACAGAAGTGAAAAAAAAAAAACCCAATCATGCAATGTAATCCATCATTCTAATTTTTAATCGAATAAGTCAAGCCACTTTAGTCAAACAAGCAGCGTTTGTTTTTTTTTTAAATTATTAAAACAAAACGGTACTCGTTATTTTCCATAACAAAATTTATACAAATAAAAGTCAACTTCAAACATTCAAAAAAGGTTTTCAAGTGCTTTTAGATATTATAGTTGGACCTGACTCTTGATTTTCTAGTTTCTGATACAAAAATCTACTTCCAGGCACCAATGCTATTGATAATGCAAAACCAACATTTGTATTAACTTTCGTCAACCAACTCACTATTAAGATACTAACGTCAAGTCTCCTAGCAAATTTGTTAGTTAAATGCAATACAACTTAAGATTTAAGAGTGAGAAATTACGTCATAACCAACAACGCAGAATTCTGAACTCAGTAAATGAGTTGCCATGCCAAATCCCATAGCTCCAAGGCCGATAAAACCAATCCTTCTCACACTCTTAGAATCAGTAGTAAATTTAGATGCCAGTTGCTCTGGGTTATACGCATCAGCATTTGCAGCATCTAAAATTTTAACCCCGTAAACCTTTTCCCAAACCTGTCATTAAGATGAAGAAAAAATGCTTAACCTTAGAAGTGCCCCTATAATGGTATCAGATACATAATGTATCCGTCCATCATAGATGTTAAGAGAGCACACTACGGATTCTAAATAAAAAATCAACTTCTGATTGAAACTTCTCAAACAGATGTTCATCAATAACCTTGGTCAATACTGTAACATCTTCTCCACTATCAACAAGTGAAGCCCCTGAAAAAATAATTTTCCAAACTATGTAAGCTGGAAATAAGTTTTTAATTTTTATGAGGGATGTTTAGTTTACCAGTTTTGTACCGTGAATAAGTTGTAGATGAGTAGCAGCCAAAATTGGAAGCGGAAAAGTAAGTGACTTGGACATATTCAAAATGGTTTCCTTGAACATTTAAGCAAATTTTAATATCATTATAGTGTTTGCAAAAGAATAACAACAACGAAAGCAAAAAAAAAAATGAATAACATAACAGTGCTTTTACACACGCACAAAGTTGCTGCAAGACAAGAAAAATGACAATTTTGAAAACAAGAGTCATGTAATATAAGGTGACTCAACAAAAGAAAAGTGACTTCATTTATGGATATGAAATAGAAATTCAAAGCATTAACTCCTAAAAAAGCAAGGGATAAGGCAATTAAGTGGGCCCATAAAGTCCTTTATATCTCTAGGACATCATTTCATAGAAGAGCTTGTTTGTGTTGGAGGACATAACAATGACAAACTCAAACCTTGAGCTGAAACTATAATTTAATTATAGGTGCTTAAAATCAAACTCCTTAAATTTTGGTTTTCAAGGCTCTAATATCATGTCAACCGATCACTTCAAAAGCTTAAGCTACAGGTTGGGGAGGTTCAGGAATGTCTTACGTCTCTGACAGCAATTAATCACCTTTTATATCACAAGATTATATATAATGTGTAGTAAATTTGTAGAAGCTGTACGGTGTTTAAAGTTTATGTGTTTAATACATGTAAACTGTAACCTATATGTTGTTTCTTTTTACAGATTTTCAAATTTGTCCTTAAATATCAAATGTGCTTCTTAATATTTAAAAAGTTAGAAGTTGAATTTAAAGGATAGACATCGGAACAAACAAAGACAAGAATCAACATGAAATCCACTGAATTGAAAGGATAAACGAAGAAACAATCTGTATGGATAGTTTCCATTTGAAATTTTTCTACTGATGAGGCAAATAGAAACAATTTTACCAGAAGAAACCATTTGAATGGATTGTTTCCATTTGGAAAATTCTTATTTGTGAGGTTTCTACTATAAAAGTATTATTAATCAAACCATGGTAGACTACTTCTGATTTTGATGTAATCATATAATCATCAAATATGACAAAAAAACAATTAAATATATAATTGTTCAGATCTTCATTAATCTTACCAACTCCTTAATAAAAGTGTTCAGAATTTGAAGATTAACCTCTCCCTTCAACAAAAGGGGTAAATAATTCTTGAACGCCCTACAAAATCAATGAAATTATTTCCACCTTCCAATAGAGGAGGAGGGGCATCAGTTAAACACATACCATGAATTTCCTGCAGCATTGGAAATTATATCATAGATTATCCAAGGATGAATTCCAATTTTGGCACCAAGAGAGAGAGCCTCCACTGCATTGATGAAATGAATGCCTTCCAGCATCACATTTACCATTTTAACCTTGCTGCAAAGGAAAAGGATGAAAAATTTAATAAATCTAACACATACAAAGAACACAGCAACCTATAATAGTAAATCTTGGTTTGGATGGATACAACATGTTAGGATTATAATCTAAGTTAATTATTTTCACTTCATGGGAGAGGGAGAAAAACAAGGAATGGTCCAGTTAAAGAATTTTACGTAATGGCAAGATTAGATTTTAAAAGAGCAAGAACGAAGTAAACCTGCCACCACCAATTTCACCCTCAAAAGTGAAGAGCTTTTCACACATTGCTGTCAACAAAAGGCAACAATAAATTAACCTTCAAATATAACTAAAACAAATGGCCCTTTTCTTAATGCATATCAAGTTCAAAAACTGTTTAAAACAACAGCTCTAAAATTTACCAGTAAGAATATGATGTGCACGTGCAATTGCATCTAGTCTTCCAGATGATGCAATCTAAATATTCAAGAAAAAATAGTCAAGATACATGCCAGGTATCTAATTAGAGAAGGGAATTTATTTTTATTCTACAACCCAGCAATAAATTATTAATACAAAATAGTCAGACAATATCTTACGATGACTTTTCCATTCAAAGCATCAGATCTCCCATAAGAGACATATGCATCAACAACATAAGCAATCTCATGAATTTCTACACGATATACAAATAAATATGGTTAAGTTTGGACTCCTTTAACAAAGAATCAACAATCTTATAATGCCAAAACTATCATGGCATGTATTACCTGCTAGATCCTTCTCCAGTTTATGGAGAAATGATGGTAATAAGGTGGAACGGAGAATAAGAACAGTATCTGGTTTTAGACCTGCATAACCCAAAATACATGAAACAAAATCCTAGTACGTAAAACCTGTTTAATGCCAAAAAGCTGCATGGAGACCTTTCAAAGCACCCTCATCTCCAAAAATGAGATCATTAGTTTGATCTATGTGAGATATTAGGATAACTAGAGCTGTTACATCTGCAAGTGGGACAGAAATATATGTATTAGGGAGACCATGGAATAGTGTAATTTACATAAACTGTACAATCATGTTCTAGATAACACCGAGGTACAGTTAGACTGACAACGTCATTCCACTGATCATACTTTGAGAGAAAATCATGACCATACCAATAATACTAATAATATTTCATTAATAATCATCTTTCTTTATATGATGACTAGTTCTTTACTGAAAAGTCATGTAAAATAAATAAATGTTGAACTCGAAGTAACATGAATATGGCATAGCAGATTTTGTGTCCAATNTGAATTTAAAGGATAGACATCGGAACAAACAAAGACAAGAATCAACATGAAATCCACTGAATTGAAAGGATAAACGAAGAAACAATCTGTATGGATAGTTTCCATTTGAAATTTTTCTACTGATGAGGCAAATAGAAACAATTTTACCAGAAGAAACCATTTGAATGGATTGTTTCCATTTGGAAAATTCTTATTTGTGAGGTTTCTACTATAAAAGTATTATTAATCAAACCATGGTAGACTACTTCTGATTTTGATGTAATCATATAATCATCAAATATGACAAAAAAACAATTAAATATATAATTGTTCAGATCTTCATTAATCTTACCAACTCCTTAATAAAAGTGTTCAGAATTTGAAGATTAACCTCTCCCTTCAACAAAAGGGGTAAATAATTCTTGAACGCCCTACAAAATCAATGAAATTATTTCCACCTTCCAATAGAGGAGGAGGGGCATCAGTTAAACACATACCATGAATTTCCTGCAGCATTGGAAATTATATCATAGATTATCCAAGGATGAATTCCAATTTTGGCACCAAGAGAGAGAGCCTCCACTGCATTGATGAAATGAATGCCTTCCAGCATCACATTGACCATTTTAACCTTGCTGCAAAGGAAAAGGATGAAAAATTTAATAAATCTAACACATACAAAGAACACAGCAACCTATAATAGTAAATCTTGGTTTGGATGGATACAACATGTTAGGATTATAATCTAAGTTAATTATTTTCACTTCATGGGAGAGGGAGAAAAACAAGGAATGGTCCAGTTAAAGAATTTTACGTAATGGCAAGATTAGATTTTAAAAGAGCAAGAACGAAGTAAACCTGCCACCACCAATTTCACCCTCAAAAGTGAAGAGCTTTTCACACATTGCTGTCAACAAAAGGCAACAATAAATTAACCTTCAAATATAACTAAAACAAATGGCCCTTTTCTTAATGCATATCAAGTTCAAAAACTGTTTAAAACAACAGCTCTAAAATTTACCAGTAAGAATATGATGTGCACGTGCAATTGCATCTAGTCTTCCAGATGATGCAATCTAAATATTCAAGAAAAAATAGTCAAGATACATGCCAGGTATCTAATTAGAGAAGGGAATTTATTTTTATTCTACAACCCAGCAATAAATTATTAATACAAAATAGTCAGACAATATCTTACGATGACTTTTCCATTCAAAGCATCAGATCTCCCATAAGAGACATATGCATCAACAACATAAGCAATCTCATGAATTTCTACACGATATACAAATAAATATGGTTAAGTTTGGACTCCTTTAACAAAGAATCAACAATCTTATAATGCCAAAACTATCATGGCATGTATTACCTGCTAGATCCTTCTCCAGTTTATGGAGAAATGATGGTAATAAGGTGGAACGGAGAATAAGAACAGTATCTGGTTTTAGACCTGCATAACCCAAAATACATGAAACAAAATCCTAGTACGTAAAACCTGTTTAATGCCAAAAAGCTGCATGGAGACCTTTCAAAGCACCCTCATCTCCAAAAATGAGATCATTAGTTTGATCTATGTGAGATATTAGGATAACTAGAGCTGTTACATCTGCAAGTGGGACAGAAATATATGTATTAGGGAGACCATGGAATAGTGTAATTTACATAAACTGTACAATCATGTTCTAGATAACACCGAGGGACAGTTAGACTGACAACGTCATTCCACTGATCATACTTTGAGAGAAAATCATGACCATACCAATAACACTAATAATAATTCATTAATAATCATCTTTCTTTATATGATGACTAGTTCTTTACTGAAAAGTCATGTAAAATAAATAAATGTTGAACTCGAAGTAACATGAATATGGCATAGCAGATTTTGTGTCCAATTCACGTTCACTAGAAGGAAGTTTAAAAACCAAATATCCTTTTTTAATACAATAATGCAATAAATGCAGTATCTAAGAAAAAGTTGCAAAACGGGAAAAACAAGCAGAGAAAGGAAAACACGCAAAAAATAATGAGAATAATGCTCCCTAGAAAATGATTCTCTGGACATCTATTTTAATTGAAAATGTCCTCGACAATTACATACAACGTCCTCTAATGCAAATTATAACCGAATTCCGTGTCCAAACTCTTCCTTTAACAACCAAGATCATCCCATGTCACGTTGGAGGCTAGAATGTCAAAACCTCTATTATAACATTTTCACACGGACCACCTTGAGAATGGAAGAAAACGGAGAGATTCCACACCAACCAAACGAGCCATGTACAAATTTATATAAAAAATCATGAAAAGTATCTTCCATCTTAAACCTTGATCCTATGGCTTACAGGTCTTTTTTTCCTTATATGATGTTTCTTTTCTCTTTATTATCCCAGGTAGTACTTCCAAGTCACACTTACTTTATGAGAGTCATGCCTTCCATATAGATTTGGGAGAGATGGACGTGCATCACTGGAGGGACCCTTTTGACCAAGAAGTAATGTTCAGCCTTAACAATCCAACAGACAGGGTCTTCGCCGCGCTTTGACAAGAGTTGCAAGTTGTCTTCAACAGTCATGCGTGATGCTGAGTTAGAAAAACGGTGATCCAGTTGGGAGCTTCTAAAACCCATGAGCATCTCAGTAGAAAGGGAGGGGACACTCTGTTAGCTCTCAAATGCTAAGCAGGGAGTCCGACGAAGATGAATGCTTTTTGAATTTGATATCATGGATCAGAAGAGTCGATAGCAATGCAGAAAGCTAAGACTCTTAATTCTCGTGCGCATGCACTAATGTGATCATTTACTCTTAAGGAAAGCACAAAATGTTATCAGAGGAGAGGACAGCCAAAAGAGTAATCCTTTAGGTGGAAGAACGTCATGACTTAAGTAACATACAACTAATTTATCCTACTTAATATTGTCACCTCCTTGAAGAATATATTTACCACGTAACAAGACTTTTAGCTTCATTGTCTGTAATTGAGCAACTGGCTGCTAAACGTAGGGCGGAAAACTTTAGCTTGCAATTGATGACAGGTGCTGTCTCTCAAATGACATTTATGGATTTTAAGGTATTACGCCTAATGTTTGATTTTTAAAGATTTCCGAAGTACATTAATTATAAAATTAGAATTTAGAATGATATCGCATTTCATATAACTAATTTATGAACTTACTACAACAAACTTGAGCAAAGAAATATAATTTATGAAATAGTCAAAGTCAACCATATGGCTGAAATTTACCTCTCCCAGCTTCCGATGGGCTTGAACATCTCACTCCTCCAAGCTTCACGATTTCTTCAATGACAGGATTATTTATCTATGGAACAATATATTCCAATTGTATGAATTAAATGCAACCTCCCATAGTAGTGGTGTTTAACAAACTAAAAAGCAAACAATAGTTCCAAAAAAAAATTCAAATAATAGAAAATTCATTACACTAGTATAAAAAAAACTTTTTTTAAAGTTTTTACATCGAGTACTTACATTAAATGAGAGTCAAACATAGATACAAAAGACATAAATTTACATCAAACAAGATATTCGACGTAAATAGATATGAAATAATAATGAAAGATATCAAATTCACAATGCCTTGAGTCAAGAGAACTAGTTCGGTTAACCTGGCGGCAAACCAGTGGAAGTTAGAATTTGAATATTTTTAGTACAGATTATATTTTCATTCGTTCTCAAATTTATAGTGGTCTTCTTAGCAACAAAAAATTATAGTTCTCTATTTGTTTAAAGACTATATGCACTTATTGGTTATCATGAAGGAAAATATTTTCACAAGGATTGCCAATATATGTTCATAAAAATGTATTATGGATGCCGTTGATAACAGCTTTCATATGATTCGACAACTTAATGTCATTCTAAGATAGAATCTAAGGTAATTGTTTATTCTTTTGGACAAAAAGATTTTTAAGTACACCCAAACGGAAACATAACTTAAATTACTACCCTGCCACCTATGCAAAATAAGTTGTTGGGTGTTCAACTAAAAGTTCTAAATTAATTTTCCTTAACTGCCCCAGTATATCCTTTATATCCTGTAGACAACAACTAAACTTTAATTATATAATGATTTTATAAACATAAAAATATTATGGACATTAAACCAACCTTATTAAACTCGGACTAATCATTCAACCAAAACCATTTGGTTCAGAGTTTAACAAACGAATAGATATTAACAAAAGAATATTAATTAAAAAGACATTAAATAATCTTTTAAATGTATATGCAGGTTTAAATAGAATGAGTGCATATTAAATTTAAATTACGTACATATTGATATTTATTAAGAACAATAGTTTTATATAAAGTAAAAACACAATCAGTATTTCAAATTGTTTTCTATGTTTTTTAAGATAAAACGATAAATTTTTAATTTATTATTATTATGTGTTAAACCTATTTTTAGTAGTTTGGCTGGGTTCTTTTTTACTGATTTTGTATCATCCGAAGCAGACGTCTCACAGGTTCCTAGTTCGACAAGAAATAAGTTCTCAATCAGACAAAAGAACTGAATTCCAGTCCAACGAGACTGGGAAAGTTTTGAGAATGATCCCAAGAATTTAAAATCACAGCAATATTATATTTAAAGACCAATTGGTGCAATTAAAACTTGATAAAGACCAATAGACCGTGATTACAAATATAATATAAAAATTAAATTAAGTCAAAATCTTATTACAAGTCTTTCAACTTAAAAAAGGGAAAAAAAGAAAAGTTCAGCCTAAAGTTCTCAAGTCAAAAAATATTTCTTAAAAAAAAGCTGGATTAAATTTCCAATCTTCTGCATACAATTTTCAAATTAATTTTGAGATGTTAATAAATAAATAAAAATTCCCTCAAAATAACTTACTTTTTGTATGTTCATTTCTCCTTCTAAACAGCTCCTTTACATAATAATATTATTATTATTACAATAAAAGTTAGTCTTTATATATGGATTAAATTATATTTAATGATAACAGACAAAAAACAAATTACATGTTACATAAATTTAACTTCACCTAAATTAGCTTATAACTAAATTAAAATCTTCATAGACTTTTGAAAATTAAATTGATCATTTAAAAGAAATTGTTAAACAAACTTGAGCTCGTGATAAGGCTCAAAGAACAATGTTACCATTTCAAGGCCAGTGCAAGGAAGGGATAACCTCAATACCTCAGATGAGGATTTGTTTCACTAATGGACACCTTTGACATTTGGATAAGATTAAAAAATGCATATTTTCTAATGATGTATCATTTTCTTAAGAAGCTAACTTCAGAAAAATATTTCTTTTATTGATGAATATTAAAAATTGTGTTTGATAATACTGAAAAATTAACTATTAATTTATTTGACTCATTTACAAGTTAATTCGATTAAATACTTTTATAAATACTTTAAAGTACTTTATTTTTTAACTTGTGCTAATTCAATTATTTTATTTTATTTTTATTTCTTATATTTTAATGTATTTTTTACTATTTTTTAATTTGTTTTATTATTACCTATTTTACTTCAATAGAGACAATTATATTTTTTTTTGTATTATGTAGATTTTTTAAAAATTTTATACACTTCAAATTAAAAAATCACATCATCAAGTATATACAACTTTTAAAAGATAGATATAAAACTAAAAAATTTAATTATTTTAAAAAAATAAAAATATAATTCATAATAATATATTTTCTTCGTAAAAACACAAACTTCACTTATATAATAAATTTCTGTAATTATATTCTTTTAATTTATATTTCATTTATCAAGTAGTTTATCGATAAGTTTATTCTATAAGTGAAAAAATTTTTAAGTCAAAGGAAAATACTGAAAGAAACTAAATTTTGTGAATAAAATCTGAGATTTAAAGAAAATAAATAAATTGTGAATAAACAGCTGAGATTTAAAGAAAAAAATTAAAAAATTGAAATAATTTGTTTATAAAAAGAGAGAGAAAATTAAGAGAGAGAGAACCCAAAAAATCCTGCTAAACAAAATTTAAAATTACAAATTATACCGGTTTCATTTATTATTTAATATTTCAACTTTAATTCTATAATTGTAATAAATAGGAATCAATAAAATATTAAATTAAAAGAACTAAATAAAAATTGTTTAACCTACACTTTTTTTTTCTCAGCAACAAATTGAATATTTTTAATCATACACTGAATCCTGATATTTTGCATTATTTTTACCCTATGATCAATGCATTTTAAATCTTCTTTAAGTTATGATAATGGTTGTACAGGCGTTTCCCTTTCAGAAAGAATAACGACAACAACTAAAGCAGAGAGTAAAAAACAAAAGAAATTATGCGAGCTAGAGGATTAAAAGATTAATTGAACCTAAATAAATTATATATTATAAAAAAATATTGTTATATGAATTCACTTTTCCACGCATTCTTCTAGAAGTAAATCGAACCGTTGAATATAAATGACGGCCTATATTTTACTAGTAACCAGCATCCAAAACTGAACCGTTGGATTTTCATTGAACGGATCAATACTAAGTCACTACATGACGTGAGAAAACCAAAATGCGAGAGCACACAATCAGATTCCTAATTCCTAATTTGCTCCTACGGCAAAAAAGTGGAGTATGCTGTGATTCTAGCGTGATAGATCCTATTCGTATGACTGCTCATATGAGACTGTTCAAAGAAAGCTAACCTCAAAAGCTCGCACACCGTATCCACGGCGAATCGCAGAATGCGCCATCTCCAAGCTGAACTCATCAACGCCGACAAAACCGATCGCCTTCTGAGACGCCATTGTGAAGAACCTTCCGATTGATTTCAGTCTACTTCAGAGGAGATAGAGACGAGAATAAAATCAATAAATAGATAGGTAAAGTGAGAATCGAACTTAATTAAAACAGAAACGACGAAATGGGGAAATTGCAGAAGTTCGGACAAGGAAGGAGTAAGGAAATTACGCCTCTGTTCTGTGCCTTTTTGTTTTCTATTTGCTAAACAAAATTGGAGACTCGTGCAGAATGCGCGATCCCGAGGACTATAAAGATTCCCTTAGGATGGATCCATTTATTAAAGAAATGTCCTTACTGGATCAATTATTAAAAATGTACACCTAATTAATGATATTTGTAATTCACTCTATTAATTTCTCTGATTTTATCTCCATAAATTTCTTTATAGTTTAATGAGTGTAGTGCCAATTATTTCATTTTAACATGTAGTTTTAAATTCAATTTATTGTGGTAAAACTTAATTAATTATTACTTTCATTTCATTGTATAGTTTTATTTCAATTATATTGAATAAAAACATTTAATAGTGTTATATATTGATACATATGCTCGCTATAATTTATTGATAAAGCATTTAATAAAGAAGAAAAAATAGTGTACCTGCTTAGTATGAAATAGTGATATTGATATATTTGGAATTAATAATATGTTCAAAGAATTGGTGTTGTCAATTAATTCGGATAAATGAATATGATAGGATAATTAATTACTTTTAAAGAAAAAAAATAAAGTAACATAATTAATTACACTAAGTGACAATGCATACGTTGTTAGGTAGATTTCATCCCAACATTTTTATAAATTCCTTATATTCCAATCCTCCCATAAACATAGACGAAGTTTGAATGCAAATAACTTAGTATATCACTATAAAAGAAAACTAAAGTGGGAACAAAGAAGCAAGAAAAAACTCCACTCTCCTCCATAGGCACTTCTACTTTCAAACAAAGTAACAAATATAACAGCTACACTTTCCATAGTGCTAGTCGATATTTTGACACATATTCTCACGTCTTAATTTATTGACAAAGCATTGAATTGAATAAAAAATATTTAATATTCTAGAGACACGAATATAAAGCTGGTTGCACTTTTCATCTTTTAGGTATGGTCATGGTTACGATTTTAGTTTTCAAATTACGTTAACTGTATTTTCTTTTTTTATATTTTGAATGTTTGATTAATTTTTTATATTATCGAATTTTCAATTGACTCTTCGCAATATTAATATAGTAATCGGGTGATTCCAAGACAAGTGAAGATCACGTCAATAAAAATTAATTTATAGATAAATTAATTGCACAGTTTTAATATGGAAGACATTTGGGAATAAAAATACGTATTTCTGGAGTAAAATATCATAATTAATTACTCTATCTGGATGTTAAAAGTACTATTAAATCTAAAATAGATAAATATATAAGTAGAATTGGTTAGGGTATATTTGTCTTAAAAAATTAAAACTATTTAATACTTTCTAAAAATTTAAATAAAAAGGAGATAAATAATCTTGAAATGTTTAAAATTGTTTTTAACGTAAGGTCTACTAATTTTTTTAGTATATTGTATTTTTTTATATAAATATCCTAAAACACTCCATTAATCATAAAGCAGTATTAATAAAAATAATCAGTATATTAATTATCTTTAAAATATATAACATGTTCAACCTATTTCTTTTTAAGTTTTTAGATATTTATTATATTAAAAAAAAGTTTTTAATTATGAAATTTAAATAAATAATTTTTAAATTTAGTTTTTAATTTAAAATATTTAACTTTTAATATTTTTAGTATGTTTTTTATTATTATTAATAAATAAAACAAAAGTAAAAAGAAAAAAAACCATACGTTCGAAAACCGTTAAGTAAATTTCTTATTCAAATATCAGTTAAGTAAATTTCTTAACCAGCTTTGAAACGTCGGCAAGAGTACTTTTGATTTGATATTATGGAGGTGCAGATAACTTTTGGAGGTGCAAGGGGAACTTCTCGTTTAATGATTCTCCTACTTAATCTGCAAGTGTACGATGTATCTTTTTCACCGACTCATTTCCTAGTCATTCATAATTCCAATCCAAATATAAAAGTTGTTTATGTCCCACATCGGTTATTTCGAAGTCGTCATGTATGCTATTGGTGATTACCAATTTTATAATTTTGGATTAATAATATTTTTAAAATATATTTACATTCAATGTAAACAAAATATTAATTTATTTTCAATAACAAATTTAAAAAGTTTACTAGATATAATACTATAATTTTTAATTAATTTCAAATTATTAGTATCTGCAAGCTTGTTTTATTAATAAATGAGTAAAAAGTTTATGTTTACTTTATTTTAAAGAGTTTGTGGTCTGCAATGGAACTCTTTATGTCAAACAAATCTCATGGTTCTTGAGTATACATTTCATCACATTTATTGGTATAATAACTCATGTATTTATTTCTATGTAGTTTTTTTGTAAAAGGGGTTTTGTACAACAATAAAAATGGTTAACTTGAATATGAATGATCACATTACTTTGGTGCAGTAAGTGATTTATGTCTTTAAGTCTTATGTGGTTATATATTAACCTAGTTATGTACATATTAAAAAAACGCTTAAGTTCAATATCAAGGATCATATTACTTTGGTGTAGTAAGTGATTATACAATGAAGGGTATGTGGTATAGTATGAAAGTC